AGAGTGACCCATACCTACTCCTTGGAAGAGGATGTAATTGAGACGCTTGTGAGAAAAAGCATTTATGATGTAGTTATTAGGCCTTGCTTTCTTTTTGACCCTCCATAACGAGCTGGCAGCATTTGCATAGGCGGGTGATGTAAGCGATGGCCCACATTGCTTAGGCCACACGTAGGACACTGTGGTCTGGCAAGCAACAGGGAACTTAGAGGGACAGCAGGCCACACTTTTGCAATCTGGGAATTATTGATGGGTAAGTGAGAAAAATAGGAGTGACTCGGCCCAGGCTTTGGTGGGAAGTGCCGACTGGCTCCCTTGGACCCCTTCCCTGTCTCTCCCTGCCTGAAGAAATTTTGGAAATTTTGGCTTTGTTAGGCCCAGGCCCAGGTTCCTGGTAGACCCTGAGACATGAAGTATGCTTTTCCCTCCCTTTCCTGGCTCCAGCCCTGGGCTTGGCTGTCATTAAACTCATTCCAGTCTCAGCTTGGGGCTAAATACGCCTTCCTGGTCAGACTCTGCTGGCTGCTCCAAACCCTGATCACCGGTCTCTGGCCTTATAACCTCCTCTCCACTGAGCTGACACACAGCTGGGGAGATCAGCAGACGGTGGTGCGGTAAGCTCCAGGCTACTGGTTTCCATTTTGTTCCCTGCTTCTGGGTTGCCATTGACCTGTGTTCCCTACATCTGCTCTGGGTTACTGTTGGCTTTTTTTTTTTTTTTTTTAATGGCCTTCTATTCTTCCCCTTTTAGCATCTTGAGGTGAGCAAGCAGTCCCCTCCTGTGCTGTCTGGAAGTCTTCCACCCTGGGTGGCCTTTAGCATGCTGTAGCTTGAGGCTGCTCCGGTCTGGTACAGGAACTAGGAAAATACAACCCTTAAATGCCTAGACCCTATGAGCAAAGCCGTACTGTTGGTAGCTCTCTCCTTGAGTGAAGGAGGGCCTAGGACAGCTTGTCTTGGGTGGGTATGGCCTCTGGATCGTGCTCATTCAAATGAACGAGTAGGGACTGAGGTGGGGTAGTTGATCTGTTTTTCACTTGTTTTGAAAAAGGATTTTTTCCTTTGTTGCCTACTGCTCATGGTAGTACACCCAGAAATCGAAGCAATTAATTCTCCTGCTTCAGCTTGCTGAGGGCTGGGATTACAGGTGTGCTCCACCTCAGACACACACACACACACACACACACACACACACACACACACACACACACACCTCTTTTCTTTTTTTGTGGTATTGGGGGTCAATTCTAGAACCTATATTCTTAGCTTTTCTTTCTTTCTGTTTTGTACGCAGGGACTGTTTGGGGGAAGTGGAGACGAGACATGATCTCATGTAGCCCAGGCTAGTCTTTATATATGATACGACTAAGGCTGGCCTTCCACTCGTGATGCTCCTACCTCTACCTCCCAAATGCTTAGAATTACAGACATATACCTGTGTCTTAAGACAGGGTCCTACTAAGTTAGTTGCTTAGGCTGGCTTTGAACTTAACTCTGTAGCCCAAGCAGGCCTGAACTGAAGCTCCTCCTGCCTCTGGCCACTTGAATATCTGGGATACATCACAGATCTGTCTTACCACAATTCTTCTTGAAGCTCTTTGAACCTCAGAGGCACATATGGCTTTAAGGCTGCTGCTTGGGCTTAGGTTGTGGCCTGTTGTTAGATGGGGCATTTGCCTAGCATATACGAGGCCCTTGGATCCGTAAAGGGAAATGGAAAAAAGAATAATTACTAGCTTTCTAATTTGGGATACGGAGGTGACTGTATCATTGTTAGTCTGAGCATAAATATGGACGGTCTCACAGTGAAGTGTTTGTAGAAAGACGCTGTGATCAGATGTGTCAACATTTGTTTCTCTTGGATTCTAGGCTTTTTTGTTTTGTTTTGTTTTACTTTTTAAAGAAAGGGTTTCTCTGTAGTTCTGGCTGTCCTGGAACTGAATCTGTAGACTAGGCTGGCCTTGAACTCACAGAGATCTGCCTGCTGCCTCTGCTTCCCATATACACCACCACTGCCCATTGGGTTTTAGGTTTCGTGCTCTATTAGGACGTTTGAGCTGGGATGTAGCTCAGGTGGCAGGGTGCTTGCCTAGTATGCCAGAGGCCCTGGGTTTGATCCCCAGTACTGCATAAACCAGAGGGTCTCTGAGAATCTCAGCACTCAGGAGGTGGGGCATCAGGAGTTCAAGGCCAGCTTCAGCTACCTATCAAATCAAGGGCAACTTAGGCTACATGAGACCCTGTTTCACAGGAAGGGAAGGAGAAGGAAGCTGATGATGCTGGTGATGTGCCTGTTCTTACTCTGTCACACTCCCACACCACTTTACTGGGATAGTTAAACAGACCAAAACCAAACTGACTCCATGCCACAGAACATCTGTCCTCTTGCTGGGCCATGATGGTACATGCTTTTAGTTCCAGCACTTGGGAAGCAGAAGTAGGCTGATCTCTGTGAGCTGAAGACCAGCCTGGTCTACATTGTGAGTTCCAGGACAGCCAGGGGCTATGTAGATGGACCTTGTTTAAAAAAAAAAAAAAGCAGAAACAAACAAACAAACAAAAAACTAAGCAAACAAACAGTATATTCATCAATATTCCAAATATTTCAGGCATAATCAATCATACAGTGATGGACATTGAAAAACAAATTACATAATCCTGTGAGAAAAGCTTTGAAGTTTTTGTTTTTTTTTTTTTTTTTTTTTTTCAATAGAAGAAAAGGAAGCTGCAGTAAACTAAAGGGAATTATTAGGTTTTAAAGAAATATGTTCCTTGCAAGAGATAATTTTCTACCCAGCAAAGTTAATTGCTTGTGAGTCATCTATAATTACTTGTTTTCATTTTACACAGTACCTATTGACTCTTGCTCTATTTCAGAGGAGGACATTCGCCTTCTCACACTGTCCTCATCTCCTTTCCCCCCACAGCCTGATTATGCTAATTACATTATTGGATTGCCTACTTTAAAAAAAAAAAAAGGATTTCTTCTAGCCATGGTTTCTGGTTTTGTAAGCATTCTCTCTTTAATAAAAATTAATTTCATTATTTTGGTGCGCATGTGAATGTGTGTCACAGATCACGTGTGGGAGTCCAGAGGCCAGCTCTTTCCTTCTAGCTTGTTTTGAGGCAGCGCTTCCTGGGCCTGTGTATTGGATGCTCCTGTTGCAGCATCCGTGCGAGTGCCGGGATCACAGCTGGGCCCCACTCCAACCAACTTCTTTCAAAATAAATGTTTATTTTATGTGTATGAGTGTCTCGCCTTTATGTGTGTGTACCAGGTGAGTGCTTGGTGCCTGTGGAGGACAGAGGATGGCACAAATCCCCCGGAACTGGAGTCACAGAGGGTTGTGAGCCGCCATGCAGGTACTGAGAATAGAACTGGATCCTCTGTAAGAGAAACAGGTGCTCTTCGCTAAAGCTCTCTCCAGCCCCAACACCAGCTTTTTAATGATTGATTGATTGATTGATTGATTGATTGATTGATTGATTTTATGTGCATTAGTGTTTTGTCTGCATGAATGTCTGTGTGAGGGTGTCAGATCCTCTGGAACTGGAGTGACAGACAGTTGTGAGCTGTCATGTAGGTGAAGGGAATTGAACCCTGGTCCTCTGGAAGATCAGCCAGTGCTCTTAACTACTGATCCATCTCTCCATCCCCAACAACCAATAAATGCTCTGGGGGTCAAACTCAGGTCATCCCACCAGACTCGTGGGGCTAGCTCACTGTCTTACTTGCTTCCTGAATTCTTTATTTCCTTCTTTGCACCACCTCAAACTCTTTATTAGTGTATGTGTGTGCATGTGTGAGAGAGAGACAAAGACAGAGAGAGAGAGAGGAGAAAAGAGACAGCAGAAAGAGAAAAAGGGAATCAAAATGTCTGGATTATATAGTGAAGATCCTCTGTGGGAGGGGAGGGTATGCCAGCCACACCCTGTAACAGGTAGGGACTGAGGGATGCTGGGAGAACTTGGTTTAAAAGGCACCTTAGCCACTTGTCTTGGGTTGAAGCCCAACAGGGAGGCTGGGCAAGACAGGAGGACAACAAACTGCAAGTTTGCCTGGGCCACCTTCCAAGACATCACCCACCCACACTTTAAAGGATTTTTTTTTTTTTTTTTCTGTGTGAATTTATGTGCATCATGCATGTGCAAGAGCCTGCGGAGGCCAGAAGAGGGTGTTGGATTCTCTGGAACTGGAGTCACAGATGATTGTAAGCCCCCATGTGGGTGCTGGGAACCTAACCCCAGTACTCTGCAAGAGCAACAAGTACTCCCAACTGCTGAGCCATTGCTCCAGCCCAAAGCCTTTCTGTTTGCTTTTTAAAGCCTCTGAATCCTGGGAAACCCCTGCCTTGACCCTTAGTTCTGTGTCTGAATGAGGCGGGGTCCCCATCTTGAACACTTTTGGAATGTAGTGGGTTATTTCAGTCTTCAGGTGTTTTTTTTTTCCTCCCCCCCCCCCCGTCTTTTCAAGAAAATTTTGTGTTGTGCATCCTTGCCTGCCTCCTCTTGCTTTCACAGCGGTTTCTTTTTCTCAGGCTTCCTTTGCTGGCATTTATGGTCTGGGTTTCTGGCAGATTTTGGTTCTCTGACAACTAGAATCTACTAGTGCTTCAGTGGCACTATTTGCTTCCTCTTTTCCTGCCCCCTTTGTTGTTGTTGTTCTGCATGTGTGTGTCATGTATATTGTGCACACACCTCTGTGTGTGTGTGTGTGTGTGTCTGCAGGTGAATGTATGGGTGTGTAGGAGTGTATATGGAGCCCAGAGGTCAATGTTGGGCATCTTCTGTAATGGTTCCCTGCCTTACTCTTTGAGGCAGAGTTTTCCCATGAACCCAGAGCTTACCTAGCTGGCCAAAAAGCCCCAGAGATCCTCTTTTGGCCATCTTCCCAGTGCTGAGGTTACAAGGACCGGCCTCCATAGCTGGGTATTGGGGACTGAGCCATCTATCTCCCTAGGCCTAGTTTTATGATTTGTTTCTTTTTTTTTTTTTTTTAGATATTGTTTAACCACTAAGACCAGGCTGGCCCAGAACTCATGGCTCCCCCCTGCCGCAGCCTCCCACGTGCTGTTACCTGGTGGGCGCAGCTCATCATTTGGGTTGTCACAGTTTGGGCTGCAGTAGAAGAACAGCGTTCTCTCTAGTCACGGTGAAGGCAGTCGGCAGGTGTGTCATTTAGCAAACACTTGGGATTGTAGTGAAGTCAGAGATTGTCAAGAGAGGTCATTCTGGCAGCCATCTTAGAAACCAACCTGGTTTTGGGGGCGAGCGCACCTGAAATGGAACTTCTGGCCCTTCAGCCATTTGGTCTGTAAAGATATACAAGATTAGATGAGGTGGAAATTGGACTTGTTCACCTAGCAACTACTCCATGTGACAAGGGTGGGGAAGGGTAGTAAGTACACATCTCTGTGGCCTCAGAAACACTCTGGCCTTGGGCAAGTTTGTCTTGGAGCCTATGCAAGTGTGTCTGTGTCTGAATGTCTATTTTATGTATATATTACTAGATATCCTGCCCCGCTGGTGTCAGGGAAGGGAGGCTTGGCCACCCCAAGATCCTACAAGTTTCTGTTCTCTTTTCCTCAGTGATCAGCTTCTTGACTGAACCTCATGGCAAGTTACCGCCTGGTTACCTCAAGAAAACAGCGTGTTCCTTCTCTTGTTTAAGCTTAGAAAAACAGAACTGCAGAAAAGTAGGCCAACAGAACAGACAGAACCACCATTTGCAGGTGCCTCTGTACCCGATGAGGGGTGACCGTCGGCAGGATTCCAACTTAGGAGCCTGAGGGTGGCAAGGGTCCATCACAGCACTCTGGGATTCCAGGATGAGTGTCATGCTGTCCCCTGAGGCTTAGGTTTAGTGCTTGGAGACAGACCCGAGGCTTTGGAATCACTTATTCTGACCCTGAGCCCAGTGGTCAGAGGGGGAACAGCTCCAGCGGCTCTTTAATGGGCAGGGCCTGGACTGAGTAGCCACACATCGGAGTCTTGCCTCTGCCCTATACTTCTGGCTCAGCTCCCTGGTAGGACAGCCGTGCCTCCCTTACAGCCAGACGGAGGACTGAGGCCACTGATTGAGGACCGCTGGTAAGGCCTGTGTGTGTTTTCTCTGCCCCTTCATTTCCTCCAAGGAACCTGGGTTTTGTTGTTAACTTGCTTGCTTGTTTGGCGTGCACATGCGCGTGTTTTCCTATGTAGCCCTGGCCGGACCGGAACTCAGTTTCGTAGATTCAATAGCAATCCTTCTGCCTCTGCCTCCCAAGTGCTCGGATTACAAAGTGCTCAGATTACAAATGGGAGCCACCATGCCTGGCTAACTTCAAAAAGTCTTCTATAAACACTGTTTTCTCTCTAAGAATAACTTACAGTGAAGAAAAGAAAAACTCTCTGCCGGAGCAGAAAGCGCCCTTCGTGGTTACCTAAAGGCAGAGTCACTTGACTTTGTAGTGCCCTCAGCAGTTCCTAGATCTCCAGACAAGGACTCCCAACTGTCCCAGTCATGTTTAAGCTCCCTTACTGTTGGGTGAGGTGAGCTCAAGGGCTCGGCCAGGTAACAGAGCTCGGTTCACTGGGTCTTCTACCTGCAGGGACTGCCCTGACATCCATCATCTTTGTCTGCAAAACCCAAAGCAGTGTCTCCTAGAGGGGCGAACAGCCATGCCAGCATGGGAAAGGGAAGAGGCTTCCTGGAGCAGCACAGTAGCCCCAGGCTTGTATTATGGCACAGCCAGAAGGCGCCAGATCTCTAGCATTCCAGGCTGCCCTCAAAGCCATGGAAGGGATCAAGGGTTCCAAAGAACAGCCCATCATAAATGCCAACCTCTACCTGATTGCCCATCCAGGTGGAGCTGCCAAAGTAAAATCAGCCGTGGTGCCCACACGAAGGGCTTTTGTTTCCTCTTTAATAGTGCTCTGAAGTTGCTGAAGGGAAATTCGAGAGGTATTTGAAGTAGGAACAGAGCTCTCTTCTAGGATTCTACAGTAGAAACCCTGTAAGACAGCCTCGCCTCGACAGTTCCCCTGACTCCCCCCTCCTCCCAGACCTGCATCTAGGGTCCCTTCTGGGGCTGACAGCAATTGGCAGTTCGCCACGGCTTCCTGGGCGCAGGCTCCCTCTCCTCATGCTGAGCCCACGGTGGATACCAGGGCTTGCATGTCATTCAGGCTTCAGTTCGTGAAAAATTCAGTTTGCCTCTAGATCTCATTTCCTAGCCCCCAGCTCCCAGCTCCCTTATCTGTTAAGTAGGGCCATCTTTCCCAGCTTCTTTAAAAGGGAACAGTGAGTGACGGTCAGGGGCAAGCTGGGTGCTGCCCATCATCTCTCCTTAACTAAATCTATTCAGACAGACCTCTGCCCCTCACACATCCAGCCCCCATGTTAACAGTGGGAAAACAGTCAATTCATAGCTGGGACAGCCAATCTATCTCCCTCCTTCCCTTCTATCTGTCTCTCTCCTCCACCTGCCCGCTCCAACCCTTCCTTTCTCCTTCCCTCCCTTCATTTTTCTTTTTTGAGACAGGGTCTCCTATAGCCCATGCTGGCCCTGAACTCACTGTGTAGCCAAGGCTGACCTCATCCTCCTGCTTTCCGGTCCTGGGCGTATGGCATGAGCTACCATGCCAGATAAACCACTTCCTTTGAACAGTGGGTTGTAGTCTAATTTTTGCCTAAGATCCACCCCACAAAGGATAGAGTAATCTGGTTCATGGTGGTGGCTGCCGTGTTGAGTTGCAAAACGACAGTTTTGCAGGCTTCCTTTTTGGTCCTCGTCTGGTCCTTCCAGTTGTGTGGCTGGAAGTATGTTCCACTGAAGAGCAACCCTTAATTTACTTAATTACTTACTTACTTGCTTCCTGTCTTACTTATTTCAGTCAGGGTTCTGAAACTAGCTAAGTACATCAGGCTGGCCTTCAAGTCAGAGAAATCTGTTTCTGCCTCCCAAGTAAAGAATATTTTATGTCCAGTATGTGGGATCCAAAGCCAGAGTCTCCTCAGGTGTGCTGTGGCTTATGTGACTGACAGGGTGCAGGAGATGAGTCTTAGTTGAATGTGAAGGCAGTTACGGGGGTCTCATGACAGTCCATGGACAGCCTCATGTTCGGGCTGAAAGTCAAACCTCGGAAAGTAATCCGGTCTTTGAATGATTATAAGCAGATTCTTAGATTTTTTGTTGTCTGCCTGGTTTTAATTTTTCTCTTCTTTCATTCTAATTCCTCTCCTCTTCTCTTCTCCCCCTTTCTTCCCCCTTTTTTTTGTTGTTGTTCGGTTTATTTTGAAGCAGTGTCTCACTATTTGCTCTGGCTGTCCTAGAATTCACTGTATAGCTCAGGCTGGCTTCAAACTCATAGAGAGCCATCTACCTCTGCCTCCCAAGGAATTAAAGGCATGAATCACCATGCCCAGCCTCTCTTTTCTTTTTCAGTGTTAGGGATCACATCTGGGATTTTGTATATGTGGGGTCCATACTTATTCCATGACTGAGCTGTAGTCCCTACTCTTTTTTTCAGGGGATGTCATCTTCCTTCCTTCCTCCCCATGTCTCACCCATCCCCTTTTCCTTTTGCCCCACTACATAGTACAGGCTAGTCTCAACTGGTAGAGTCCGGTTTTGAGTAATTCAGTCCAGGTAGTTAGTGGCTAGGGCCTGGCCATCACTTGGGTCGTTAAATCCAATGAGGTGGGTGCCACCCTTACAGATGAGAAAATGGAGGTAATTAAGGCTGAGTGGAAATCCAAGCTGTTTTTGATGCTAATGGCTATGGTAAGCTGCTCTGGATCATTCTGTAGTGTTTCAGTTAAGTAACTTGTCCAAAGGGCACATTGTCTATAAGCAGCAGGGCCAGGGAGGGCTCAGGCAGGCCTGTTGCTTTGTCATGGTGCTGCTGTGCAGTTGCTCTGGACAGTTAGAGCAGTATGTGCTGAGGCCTCCGGATCCTGTCCCCAGGGAAGGACCATCACGGTAATAGAATTCTTCTTGGCTGGTGCCTTCTCATATTTGCTGCTGTTGATAATTTATAACTGTACTAAGGGAAGTAAATGATTAACAGGAAAATCATGGCCAGCTCTTATTTTTCTTTGTTCCTTCTCTGTTCTTAACTGTATTATATAATTCTGCTTTAAAATTTGATATTATAGCCACATCTTTCTTATAACCACATGATAGTTCATGAAATTGATACGGTTTTAGTTGACCATACAATATTTATCTATGGCTTTTTAAAAAATGTTTTATTTATTTTAAATGTATGTATATAAATGTTTCCAATATTGAAACTCATGCCTAATCCAGTTTTATCTTATCTGGATGTCTTACCTTGACTTATTTGAGGCAAATCTGAGATATTATTAATCCATGATTGTTTTAGTATGTGTGTAAGGCTTTTTCATTAGAACCGTGGCCTTGTCGTTGTTTTTAATTATCTATTTATGTCTACTTTAGATTCTGGGAATGGAGCTTGGGCCTCTTGCTTTTGTTTTTCCTCTCTTTCTTTTTTTTTAACTTTATATCAGGGGCTGGAGAGACAGATCAGTGGTTAAAAGCACTGGTTTGCTCTTGCAGAGGACCCAGGTTTGATCCTCAGTACCCATACAGTGACTTACAACTGTCTATAACTCCAGTTCCAGGGGATCTGATACCCTCCTGTGGTTTCTGGGGACACCTAGGTATGCATGTGGTTCATAGACATGAGATGCAGCCAAAACACCCATACACATAAAATAATAAATTTTTATTAGCACAATGAAACCCATTACAACACAGTTCGTTAAGACATTCTTTTATAGATGTATATGCATTGCGATCTTAATCTCCTACCAGCACCCTCTCTTGTCTCATTTCCACTGATTCTCTTTCTCTTCCTAGCTAGTCCCCTTTCTCTATCCGTGGAGGTGGGGGAAGGGAGGGAGAATGTTAGTTTTGCCTCAGCGCGGCGTTTCATTACAGGAGCATGGGCGCCTGAAGCAGGCTCTCCACCGTACCCCACCCCCCCTTTAGGTGGAACAGGTTCCTACATAGCCCGAGCTCACTATGTGGCTGAACTCCTGATCCTGATCCTCTGTTTCTTGGGTGTTGGGAGGCATGCACCCCAGTACCCGGCATGTCCTTTTTCTTATCATTTTACCCCTTTGAAAGGATTTCTCCAAAGCCAGGTAGAACATGTAGACAGGGAGGCTAAGTCAGATCTTGTTGCTCATCCTACTCAGAGTCTGAGGGGGGTGGGGGCGGTGAATTGGCAGGGGCTTGAGTGTTGGGAGGGAGAGAGAGAGAAGCTCGCCTTAACCTGGCTTCGTGTTCTTCTAGGTGTGCTTGGTCACCATGAAGCTGCTGCACCCAGCCCTCCCTAGCTGCTTCCTTTTGGTGCTGCTTGGTATATGGAGAACAGCCCCCCAGACTCATGCCTCCTCTGCTGCCATGCCACCCCTTAGTGCCACTTCTTTCCTGGAAGACCTCATGGAGCGCCATGGAGAAAACCACAGCCTTACCCTGACACAGCTGAAGAAACTACTCGACCGCCTGAAAGTGGGAGTAGGCCAGGATACCATTACCCAGCCCAAGGGAGGACACAGGAACCTCTCCACGGTAGGGCTCCTCTCTGTCGACACTGCGGGGCACAGAGTGGCCCATCAGCTTAGGAAGAGGGGACAGGTAGGCCTTGGTGGCAGTCAGCTCTTACCTTTGTTGGGGTCAGCACATTCTGCCTGGCCAGTGAGGCCTCCTGGCTACACGCATGGTGTTTTGTGCTCATAAGGGGGCAATAAGGAGGTCCTCCTCAGTCCCCAGAAGGCTTGCAGCTGAACCTGGGTCACTGCTGGCAAACCATAGCTCCCAGGACAGCACGTCCAGTGGAGTGTACTGTTTGCACACGATGGCAGATGTACGTCAGAGTTCCCTCAGATGCAGGAGGAATTGCTTTTTTGGGGAGTGGTGTCACAGGGGCTTGGGGGATGGAGGCTAAGACTCTAGTCTCGGGCTTTTCCTAGTTTAGTCTTTCATCTCATCTAAAAGGTTCTTCCATATCATCTGAGCTACTCAGAGTCTGGGGTTATTTGTCACAGCCCAGTAGAGGTCAGCCAGGAGAGTCCTTATATTCCATTTTGTTCCTCATACTGAGCTTTATGGGAGGTGGAGAAACACAAGTCAGGAAGTGTGGTAGTTAAGAGCAACTGGCTGTTTTTGCAGGTTACCCACATTCCACAGTTAGGGAGCTCAGCTAGCTGGAATGAAAATGAAGTATTGAGTCTTGTGGGATGCACCATATTTACGGAGTTCGCCTGTGAGACAGGGAAGTGAAGGTGCCAGAATAGTCGATGGTTTGTGCTTGAGGCATGCTGAAGCCACACCCTGAAGGAGGAATAGGCTGAGGGTCGGAAGGAGAAAGTGGACAGGGCACTGTGTGGCATGCATCGACGGAGAGGCCGTGGGCAGTGAGTGAGTGGCCGGCCTGAGTTCAGAATACTTACTTACGGGCCTTAGGGCCTGCAGCAGTGTTCTGGGGCAACAGAGCGCAGCCCTTGACTTTATAGGTCTAAACACCTACATTGTCAGCATTCCCAGAGGGCTGGCCCTCAGAGGCAGAGTGACTGGGTAAAACCTCACTCAGAGAAGGACTGTGGTTTCTGTAAATAAAACACAGTTAGAAAAATGGCAATGTGGGCTGGGGAGATGTCTCAGTTGATAAGAGCCCTTGCTCTGAAAGCTCGAGGACCCAAGTTTGAATCCCTAGCCCCCAGGGAAAAGGCGGGGTAGCCATGTATATCTCTGATCCCAGTGCTGTGTTGCTGGCTGCCAGCCTAGATCCAGGTTCAATAAGACACTGTCTCAAGGGAATAAGGCAGGGAGAGTAGTAAAACAGGACACTCGGTGTCCTCTCCCGGCTTCATGAATGTGTGCATATGTCACAGGTTCCCTCTGTACATGAAGCACACGTGCCTGTGTGCATAATTTCTTTTTCCCATGCAAGACTTCTCTAGTTCACGGGTACCTCCGTCTGCTAACCAGCACAGGTCCCTGCTCCAGCATAACTATCTACAATCTGCACTTTAGCAGAATAGCTCCCTGGGCTGTTGTAAAGTACAGCCAAATTTACTATCAGGTGTGTAGATAGAATCTGCTTTTCTGAAACCACACCCTGGTCACAGGATTGGAATCTTATGCTCCATTCCGGGCTCGCCCTCAGTGGGATTGGGCCTAGTTCTTCCTGGTCCGCCCTAGACACACACTTTAGCCTGAATTACAACTCCCAGGGTGCCACTGAGCAGCGCAGGCTGGGTTTGAATTTGCTTTGCAGCCCAGGCATCCTTTGAGGCTGCAATCCTCCTGCTTCAGCCACCCAAGTAGTGGAGGTTAAGGTCCCACTTGGAATCTGATCGTTCCCAAAACTCTTTCACCAACCATTTATAGTTGTGTACACTAAGCACTTGCCATGATGGTAGCTGATGTGAGATTCAAACCAGGTTTTCAAGTGGGGATTTCCTTACTCTCATCCCTGGAGATGGGTCTCCAGATTCTCTGCAATTTGGCTGTGTCTGTTTTCTCTTTATTTCTCAGAGGGTTGAGGTCCTTGCATGGTTGAGTCCTGCAGGGCAGATTCTAAGAGCCTTTTTTGCCCCTCCTCTCGTTCCAGTGCTTTAGCTCTGGAGATCTCTTTGCTGCCCACAATTTCAGTGAGCAGTCTCAGATCGGGATGAGTGAGTTTCAGGAGTTCTGCCCCACCATTCTCCAGCAGTTGGATTCCCAGGCCTGCACCTCAGAAAACCAAACGACCAAGGAAAATGAGCAGACAGAGGAGGGCAAGCCAAGCGCCATTGAAGGTAAGCAAGGAGAAAAGGGGGAATGGAATGGTGGTGGGTTTTGATAATTGATGTGTGCACCAGTCTGTTACACAACATCACCAGACCCTGTCCTGGCCAGCATGTGAATATGTTTCTTACTTACCCTTTGTTTTCATTAAACTCGAAGAGTGCCAATCTTTAGGACCTTCCTTGGCTATTTCATCATCCCCTGTCTCCTAGTACCTCCCCTCTAGCCAGAGTGGACTCACCCTGTCTGGGTAAGTCCTTGACTGTCCTTCTAAAGTCCTATCTAGCCAGCAAGGGCTACTAGACATAACGTGTTGTCATCATAAGTACACGTATTGTCTAACGCATGCTATTCCCTTTGCCATGTTGAGTCTCCGGTCTGTTCCTTCAAAAGGTAAGCTGCTCAGATAGCAACCTTGACACTGCCTTTCTGAGGCTTCCCCAGCAAGAGACGGCCCCCCAGACATTTCCCGAGGGGCTGCTGGATCTCCGTGTGCCCAGATCACTGTCAGCAGCACAAGTGCTCACCCTCAGTAATGGAGGCCCCCGTCTGTTCTTGTTCCTCCACAGTGTGGGGCTTTGGGTTCCTCAGTGTCTCACTGATTAACCTGGCCTCTCTTCTGGGAGTCCTGGTCCTGCCATGCACGGAGAAAGCGTTTTTCAGCCGTGTGCTCACTTACTTCATCGCCCTGTCCATTGGAACGCTGCTCTCTAACGCACTCTTCCAGCTCATCCCTGAGGTGCAGTAGAACAGACGCGCGCTCACTTTTCCCAGGCTGCCCCAGCCGAGTTTGCCCCAGGCCGACACTCTCCCTCTATGCTCTGAGGCCCTCAGCAACTGTCACCCGAAAAAAAATGAATTCACTCTTCATATTAGGGGTTCCAATAACATTTCTCAGGCCTCTGTTCACTCAGGTTAGCCCCTGACCTCTTCAGGTGACATCAGATGCAAGGTTCCTACCATTTGTGTCCCCTCTTGGGGAATCTCTTTTCACTGCCTCCCAGGGCCCCCATTTATAGGAGTCCAAAGCAAAGTTGCAATTTGTGGATGCAATGTACCAGGCAGGCCCTGATTTCTAAGGGGGATCCTGGGGTCGCTCACCTATGGTTGCTGTGGATCTGTGTAGAACTGGCCACAAAAGCATGAGCCTGGTTTTAATTAAGGCAGCTGTGGCAGCACCTGGAAATCTGGGGCAGGAGGAACACAGCTTGGGCAACTTAGCAAATAGGTTGTGCCCACCAAAAAAAAAAACAAAAAAACCCAAATGCAATGCTTGAAAGAGAAGCTCATTCATTCACACCTTGCATCTCGATCGTTCCCTCACAGGTCTGACTTCCTGGTCTACTCACCCCACTGCTTTTAAATGTCCAGTAATTTTGGTTTTTTAATCATCATCACCGAGGAGCTGCAAAAATAAGATCCAAGATGACAGTCTGCCAACCTTTTCAGCTCAGGCACATGCTCCTGTTGGAGAAATGTTGTGTAGCTGCTTGGTTGATCTCTTTGGTATGATGAAAGCTTTCATAAACTCACATCATGGTGGCTCTCCTCAACCGAGAGACTGACAGAGGAAAGCTTCCGTGTGAGGTGCCATCCCCTATCTACTCCTCCTTTGTCATGAGGGAAGGTTAGCTCCCTAACAGTTTCAAAATTCCACATGGCTCTAGAAAGTTCTTCCCAAGGGAGGCCTCATCTTGGGCTATTTTTTCAGCTCCTGCCATTGAATTTACTAATTTTTTTTTTTTTTTTAAGGATTTGAAATGTTTCATTGCCTGTTTGATTGGGACTACTGTCATTGTCCGTGACCCCAGCCTTTCAGGTCACACGAGGGTTGTCATCCTGGTACATTTCTGTACTGCCTGCCCCCTCCTGAGGGCCATACTCACAACCCAGAGCGTGTCATCTTGGAAAATGCATTTGAAGTAAATTTTTATAGTGAGTTGGTCTTGGAACTCTGCTTTCTACATTGGGCCCCTCTCAGAGCAAATGGGAACAAACACAACTGTTTGGGAACCAAATCTGATGGGCAAGCGCGTCTTGCCTATTCTGTGTTTCTTCTTGCCCTATACACCACTTTGTCCTATCTTGCACCATCCTTGGGTAATGTAATGCGTCTCTGAGATGTGGCTTAAATATGCAGAAGCAAAGCCAGTGACGCACCAAACATTTTCTTCCCAGTGGCTTTGGTGTCCTGTTAAAGACCTGGAGTCCAAAGTCTGTACCGGGCCGGAGCCCACACTGTATGTGTGTATGGGATGAGGCAGTATCCTGCCCTGTCTGTCAGTCATACCAGCTGGCAGGTACAGCTCAGGCCAACTCAGGAGCAGGGGCAGTAGTCACAGGGTTCTGAGACCACCTCAAATTCCTCATACCTCTTGCACTGATTAAAGGAAATTGCATCAGACTTGAATCACTAACAAATTTCCTATGTCTCTCTCTCCCTCCCTACTTGTCTCTGGTTTTTCTTTTTGGGTTCCTCCGTTAATACCCACAACTCTCCTCTCCAACCCCCTTTCCCTCGTGGTGGTTGCCTTGCTCCCTGTCCGGGGTGGGCTGGCAGTATGGGGGTACGGTCTCCTCTGCGTTACCGTCATCTCCCTCTGCTCCCTCATGGGGGCCAGCGTGGTGCCCTTCATGAAGAAGACTTTTTACAAGAGGCTGCTGCTCTACTTCATAGCCTTGGCGATTGGAACGCTCTACTCCAACGCCCTCTTCCAGCTCATCCCTGAGGTATGGCAAGCTGCAGCACTTGACCCAAAGCACCCTCTGACAGCTAGGCGACAGTAGGCACAGGAGAAGGACTCTCTGTTTTCGTGGAAGGCACAGGGACTAGTCCCCAGGATCCTTTTGTTTGCAAAGTAAAGTGAGGACCAAGGCAGGCGCTAGGAGAGGTTGATGAGGTTGAAATCCCATCCTTACCATCTCCAGACTCTGCATGTAGATCAGCCATACACCTCTCTGTTCTTTGTATGGAATGATAAAGAATAGGGTCGACCCTGCAGGCCTGTGAGCACCTCCAAGATGCTGGAACTGTTGAGTGTAACTTGGAACTGGAGAGATGGCTCAGTGGTTAAGAACACTGGCTGTTCTGGTTTGCTTCTCAGCACTCAGACGGCGCCTACAGACTGTAACTCCAGTTCCAGAGGATCTGATGCCCTCTCCTGGCCTCTGCAAGCACCAGGCACATGTGTACATCCAGGAAAGACACTCACACACACAAATATATATTTTTTAATAAAAAAAAAAAAAAAAAAAAAAAGGAAAGCAAAAAGGAAAGCAAGCAAGCTAGTGTAGCCCTGGCTCTCAGTATGAGGCGTCAGCTCAGAGAAATAGAACCACAACAGAATCCACAGTTCTCAGTAAAAACCCAGTTCTCTTTGGTAGGGAGTTTTGAGGGCAGAGGAAATCTGAAGGACACACATTACGTCTATGGCACCTTTGTGTGGGTGATCTTCCACTGAAGAGAAGGGAGCCAGTGTTTTGAAGCCTGGCTAGTCAGCTTTGGAGACAGTTCATCTGATTTAGTGAGATACCTTCAGTAGACCCATTAATTATAATAAGCACAAGGTGTTTCACTGTAGGTGGTCTGGCAGGCCTGAGCAAAGGCAAGAGGCGAGCTCACATGCTTCTGAGAACACTGTTTTCCACAGTATTGTTTTGTGTTCGTAGTGGAGCAACTGTGATATCTGTCAACTGAGGTTTTTTTTGTTTTTTTTTTTTTTGTTTGTTTGTTTTGTTTTTTTGTTTTTTTTAACCCGCAGAGTCAGACCTATACTGGTGATCATTGCCCTGAGCCCAGAGCCCAGGCCTGACAAGTCCTGTGCTCCTGACCACCCCCCAGCCCCCCCCCCCTCCCCACACACCTCCTGGCTCTTTTCCAGCACTTTTTTTTTTTCCTTCCAGGGTACACCTCTTCTCCAGGAGCACAGACCTGAATGCAGGGCTTCTTTAGCATTTGCCCTCCAGGTCTCTCAGAAGCCAATGCTAGTGCTATGACCGAGTACACTGCTTCATACACCTGGAGAGGAAGCCCTTGCCTTTGAAGTACTTTGGGGTTCCCCTTCAGGAGGGTCTTGTTTGTATCCTCTTCCAGAGAGAGCTGGAGTTTAGTTTTTGACACAGTGAATAAACTACCTGGTCTCAGACTGTCTGTTGTCCTGCCTCAGCCTCCTGAGTGCCAGGAATTGAGCCTTTAACCATGAGCCGAGCTTAGGGCAGCTCTTCTGGCTACTCCTGTCTTCTGGCTACTCCTGTCTTCTGTGTCAGTGAATCCTGTCTCACCTTCCTTACATAATTAAGTGAAGTTTCCAGAAAGAACTCAAAGCAACATACCCTCCACTCCATTCTTTATTATCTTCTAAAGAGATGGAACCTGCTGGGCAGGCTGGCCTCAAATTCCCGGGTTTCCACCTCATCCTCCTGAGCTCTGGAAACTGCAGGTGTGTGTAACTAAGCCTAGCTTTAAACCACTCCAAGATTGATGCCTGCAGGGACATAGCCTGCTTTTTTTTTGGTTTGTGGTCCTTTCAAGGTTCTGTGGTCAGGACGATGCTGCAATTCTTGCTGTGGAACCAGAACAGATTTCTCCTTTTAGAAATTGTAACTAAACCACTTCCCATTGTATTTATGGGCAGATCAACCAAGGACACTGGATGAGGCAAAAATAAATGCAAGTAGCCTCCCTTTAAATGTGGACTTTGCTGACTGAGTGCTGTCTATCTGAGTCCTGACAGAAAAAAAGATAGTGTCCTCATTAAAAGGAGAAAACCCCAGCACTTGCTGGGTAGAGGCAGGCTGACATCTGTGAGTCTGAGAACAGCTTGGTCTATGTAGTGAGACCTAGTCAAGAAAAGAAAGAGAGAAAGAATGAAAGACAGAAAAGGCTGGGCATGGTAGCATCTGCCTATAATCCCAGCACTTAGGAATCTGAGGTAGGAGATTGCTGTGAATTTAAGGCTAGCCTGGGCTATGGACTAAGATCCGATATGTAAACAGGTCAACAACAACAACAAAAATGTAGAAACTTTTTTTTTTTTTTTTTCAGCTCCAGGCTGTAGAGATGGCTCTGCAGTCCAGAATGCTTGCTGCTTTTTCTGAGGACCAGAGTTTCTCACAGCTACCTACAAATTTAGTTTCAGGCCCTCTTCTGGCCTCCTCAGACACCCACGTGCACACTCGCACACAGAGAGACACATACACATAAGTAAAAATAAAGTAAATCTAAAATACCTATAATAAAACCCCAAGGGCTGGAGGTGTAGCTTAGTGGTAGGGTGATCGCCTAGCATGAACAAGGTCCTAGTTCAAAACCCCAGAATCAGAAAATCCAAAACATGGCCTGTCCTTTGTGTTAAGAGAATACCCAGCACACCCAGGCTAGTACTGGCGAATCAGGAGAATGTCAAGGCAGGGTTTTTGCTGGCAAGAGAATGGGCAGACAGCAGAGCTCCCAGGCTACCTCTTTTCCTAGAGCGGAGAGAGTGGTAAGCAGGCGAGAGGGAGTGACCAAGGTTCATTGACTTAAACTCACTGTGTCCTCCTGTGTCCACAGGCTTTTGGTTTCAGCCCCCAGGACAACTATGTCTCCAAGTCTGCAGTGGTATTTGGGGGTTTCTACCTGTTCTTTTTCACAGAGAAGATCCTGAAGATGCTCCTGAAGCAGAAAAACGAGGTGAGACCCAGTTGGTTGCGATGGAATGTCTAGGGGGAAAACTCTCAGCGTCAAGAAAGTGCTGACACGGGTTGGCAAGGTGCAGCAGTGTGTGAGGGCACTTGGCAGGGCACGTTTGGCATTCTCACTATAGAAGAGAGTAGTTTTCCTCATATCCCTATGTGTGGCTTGCTTAGCTTCTTTAGATGTAGGAATAAGATCTTCTCCTGTCTTAAGCTTGCTTCTTCTAAGCCGGCGCTGTGTTGGCCCGTGGCTTTGGCCAATTCCTTTTGTTCTGTAGCACCATCATGGACATAACCATTTTACCTCTGAGACACATCCTTCCAAGAAGGACCAGGAGGAGGGTGTGACAGAAAAGCTACAGAATGGGGACCTGGACCACATGATTCCTCAGCACTGCAACAGTGAGCTGGACGGCAAGACACTGGGCGCAGATGAGAAGGTCATCGTAGGCTCCATGTCCGTGCAGGTCAGTAGCCGGCAGCTCCTGGGGGAGGCTCTAGGAAGCCATGGCCTTTGTGAGTCAGGCTTACCTGAATTCACTCTGTAATCTGAAGTCCACTGGGATGTGCTTTCTCATAGGATCTGCAGGCATCCCAGAGTGCTTGCTACTGGCTCAAAGGGGTCCGATACTCTGATATCGGTACTTTGGCCTGGATGATCACCCTGAGCGATGGTCTCCACAATTTCATCGATGGCCTGGCTATTGGTGCCTCCTTCACTGTGTCTGTTTTCCAAGGCATCAGTACATCAGTGGCCATTCTCTGTGAGGAATTCCCGCACGAGCTGGGTGAGTGTCCCACTGTGTCAGCTGTCTGGGTTTTTGTGTGAGACACTTCTTGTGTCTCATCCCTTGCTGCCTCCTCCTCCACCGCAGCACTCATTGAATTAACACACCATCTCAAATGCGTTCCGTCTGACTCTTCCATTTATAACAGTTGAGTGGAGCAGAGCTGAGAATGATGGAGCTTTTTGTAAGAAGACTTTTATCCCGTGAGCCTCATGGACCGTGGCTTAGTTCTCCCACCTGTATAGCATGATTGATAACTGCACCTGCCTTTAGAATCATCAAGGGGATCATAGGCAAACAGATGTTGAAAAGGACTTACCAGGTGCCACACACTCTTCTGGGTACTCAGTGACGATCATCTCTTAACGTCCTTTTCATCTTGTAGAAGCTGCGATTCTGTCATAGTGTGGCAGGTGAATGAAGCAGAAAAGCCAGAGCTTAAGGATGTTCGTAGTTTTATCACGTCTCAAGACTCAGTCATAACTTGGAGTCCTAACTTTGGAATTTATTGGCTTGTGACTTAGCTTCTCCCTCTCTCTAATTTTGTTTCCTGAGCATGCCATCCATTGGGAGAGAGGGAGCTATTTTTATTTCACCATCAGTCGAAAAAGAAACAAGGCCGTTGCTAGTTGGTCATCTACTTTTAAAGTCTGGTGAATTATTTCCGGCCTCTAGGTAGGGAGCAATGAGGCCACTGCTGGTTAATTACATACTTTCCTATGAATTATTTCCAGCCCCTGTGCTGGGAGGCCATCGCCAGAGTTGGAAGATGGAGGTGCCTTTGTCCCGGGACAGCCTGAGTCTGGGGTCTGAATGCACGTGGGCTTCAGCCCTAGCTGGAGCATGCGTTTCCTTAGTGCTCTGCATCCTGACTCACTTCCCCCCTGCTCTCCCCCCTGTTGTAGGAGACTTTGTTATCCTGCTCAATGCTGGCATGAGCATCCAGCAGGCTCTATTCTTCAACTTCCTTTCTGCGTGCTGCTGCTACGTGGGTCTGGCCTTTGGCATCCTGGCTGGCAGTCACTTCTCTGCAAACTGGATCTTTGCCCTGGCTGGAGGAATGTTTTTGTACATTGCCCTAGCTGATATGGTAAGTGTGCCGTGGTTTGTGATCTACTCTTAAGTAGCAGGGCAGCTAAAGGATGTTTGTTTTTTATTTATTTATTTTTTTAAACACTGATCTTTGTATGGGTGCATATTCATTCTCCTGGAAAACAGCTTGTGAGAGCCGGTTCTCTTGTGTGTTCCTGAGATGGAACTCAGGTCCTCAGCCTTGACAGCTAGTACTCTTTCATCCTGACCCATCTCGCCAGCCCACAGTATTGTTTTTAATAACAGCTTTATTGAGGTCTCTTAATACCATTCACTGATCTGAGATGTAGCAATCCAGGACTAGAAGATGGCTTAGCTGTTAGGAGAACTGGCTGCTCTTAAAGAGAACCCAGGTTTGATTCCCAGCACCCAGATGGTGCTTTAGAGGCATCTGCCACTACAGTTCCAGGGCACTGGACCTCTTCTGTCCTACAAGGGCCCAAGCGCCCATGTGGTACACAAACACACATGCAGGCAGAATGCCTCTACACCTCCAACAAAGTTTTAAGAATCTAAAATAACATAATAATAGAACATTTTCGAGACAGCAGTAGGGTTTCTCCTTGGTGTTTGTTTGAGACAAGAGTCTCACTTTTTAGCCCAGGCTGGCCTTGAAAGTCACTGCAGTCTTACCTCAGCCTCCCAAGTGCCGGGCAGACAGCTGTGAACCACTACACCCAGCAAGTCACTGGGTTTTAAAGGGGTAACTTTGCTCTCTTTCTCTCTCTGTGTGTTAGCGTTTGATTAAAGAAAATTGATCGTTCGCAGCCTAGGGTCCTTATTTAAATCTGATAGGAAAGGTGTAATATGTAGACAAAAAGTAAACAAGGAAGAAAGAACATTACTTATAAGCTGTTTACCACAAAATAATGGTAACAGTATTTATGTCTTTTTTTTTTTTAAGTTTTAATTTTTTTTTTCTGAGAATCTCATCTGAGTACTATTTTTACATCATTACCCCTTCTCCCTTCCAACTCCTCCTGTGCTCCCTCTCAAGTTCATAGCCTTTCTCTCAATTATTGAGAGATGTATAATACATATCTCTTATACACATACAAACTGCTGAGTTCATTTACTGTTGCTTGTGTGTACTTGTATACTGGATGCCAACTGGAGGGCTCATTTCTGGGGAAGACTTGATTTCTCCCTGACTGAGCAGTCATTAATTGTCTATGACTCTTCACTTAGGGGTGGGGCTTTGAGAGGTTCCCTAGTCAGTGCTACAATGTCACCTGGTGTGGAATTGTTCAGGTCTTGTTTTGGCAGTCCTATTGTTGAGAGCTACAGGGAATGACCGAAGATCATGCCCTTAGGGACTTACTTCCTTTAGAGAAGTCTCCAGAACTTCCAAAAACACCACCTGAAATTGGAGGGTGGTGGGGGTGGGTTCAAACCATAACTTGCCCCGATCACCATGATTGGTAAGATGATAACGGAATCTCTAACTCTCTCGTCTTTCTGTCCTTTCTCAGTTCCCTGAGATGAATGAGGTCTGCCAAGAGGACGAGAGGAAGGACAGCTTCTTGGTCCCCTTTGTCATCCAGAATCTTGGCCTCCTAACCGGTTTCTCCATCATGCTGGTCCTTACAATGTATTCAGGGCAGATTCAGATAGGGTAGGGCCCTGCCCTCTGGGAGGTGGTGGCATTGGACATCGGGCTCTGGGCCATCCGTTCCCTGGCCTGAAGACTCAGTATCCACGAAGCATCATGGTAGAGGCAGTTCTCTAAAAACTGGTACAGACATCCCGCCTGCATCCAGATGTCAGCTGTTTCAAAATGCTCTGTCCTAGGAAGAAGCTGTCCTGGGAATCTCTAGGTAGTGCCTCAAACTGTCTCCCTGACCCCCTTCCACTGATGATTCTGGAACTGAAATGCCACACGTAGGACCTACTTCCCTATTCCTCCTGGTTACCCTCGTCTCTGTCTCTTGGAAGACGCACTGAGAGACGTGGACTATTTTATTTTACAATGTAAAAATGAAAGTCAGTGGTCATGGTTTGGTTAGAAATATCAGGGTGGCCTCCAGCTTTGGGGCCTGTGATTCTAAATGTGTGTACCTTGGACTTCAGGTTGGCCCATCTTGCCATAGGTTCTCGTGTTTTTACAGAGAAAGAGCAGAAGACAAGAATCCTGGTTGGTTGGTTTTGTTTTTGTTTTTTCAGACTGATAACTGTCTTCTGAAAGAGGCTGACATTCCAAGCCAATGAGTAGGGCAGGTAGGGAGGCAGGGGATCATCTTGAGTGAGAAGGAAATAGAACTAGTGGCGGATATCCTGTCTCCTTGGTGCTTGTTGGTTTCCATTAGGATGCTGCCTGTTGGCTGTGTGCAGCATCTGGAGTCACAAGAGGTCTACCCCAAATCCGTTAGCTTTGCCCTGATTCTCACACCTACCTATTGGCTTCTCTTTTCTAGATACTTTTTAGATGCCTCACCAGGAGCACAATTCAGAGCACATCTAAGATGTTTGCATTAGAGGGGAAATTGCACAAATTAGTCTCCCCTGGCAAAAGACTTCTGCCAAGTAGGACCTGACTCATAAAATGGGTACACGGTTGTTTATGCCTTATTGTGACAAAGGTAATCAGAAATGGAGTCGGTGCGGGCCAAACTTAGGACTTGCTAACTTCGGAAATAATAGCTGAATACCAAGGGACTGTGGACCCTGAGGTCAAACCTTGAGGTAAGGGCTGCAGGTGTCATTGCTGCCAGTGGGTTTTAAAGGGTACTGTCTAGCTACCACTTCCTCCCTGGTCCCAGACAATTCCAGAGAACGGATCCTGAATTGAATTGAGTGTAAATTGCTTTCATTTGGTCCAGAAAAGCAGATGGTTCTGCTTGTCATTTCACACCACTGGCCAGCCCTCAGGCACTGTGGAGCCTCCCCCCTCAGAACTCTGGCTTCCAGGGGAGCTCATCTCCAGGTTCACTACGTGAATTAATTTATTATTATCATATTGATATGTGGATTCCTTAGCCACTTTGGGGAGCCAGTCTCTCCCGGAGCCTTTCTTAGTGGTGCCCACAATCACATCCCCGGGGCTGTTGTTTGCATGACTGACAGTACTGGTTCATTTCCAACGCCTGAGTCTGTTCTAACCACAGGGAAACTGTCCGTTAAAAGCAGCATATATCTAATATATATGTGTATATATATATAACAACATATATGTACATATATATATGAACACATGTATATGTACATACATAGATGTTCCTTCTTCTTCTTCTTGGGGAGACATGCTTGAAATTGGGAACCCTGACAACACCACTGGAGAAACTTATGTATTTGCTCAGTTTCTCTCCGGCTCTTACCTCTTGCCTGTGAGAAGAGGTAGGAGGAAGAGGAAACTTGAGCAATCAAGGTTCTAGACTGAATGTCAGGGCCAGTCCTGGTAAGATTAGGGTCCAGTTTTACCAAAGAACCAATTCTGTCACTGTTAGAACCTAAGCTTTTATGTTACTGTCACAGTCTTCGTCATCGTTTGAAGATGAGTCTCTATCTTTTCTGTTTCCTTTTTCCTTCAACTGCTTCACGAGATAGAAAAAACTGACACTCAAAATCTCAGGCTGAGCTGGGCGTGGTGACTCACACCTGAAGTCTCAGCATTTAGGCGGCTCAAGTTTTACATCAACCCAGGCTTCGTACTGAATGGCAGGCCAGTCTGGGCTACATATGGAGCTCCTGGGTCAGCGAGACAAAATGAAGACACAAATATAAAAATTAAGACTAGCGCCAAAGCTGTGGCTCAGTGATAGAACTTTTGCCTACTGTGTGTGAGAGACCCTGAATTTAATTCCCAATACTCCTCCATCCCCCACAAAGATCGAAAGATTCTGCTTAACCTTGTTCGTGTAATATATTTTTAATTTTAGAATCCCTCCTAGATCTTGTTATTTCTTAAATACCCTTTATGCTGGAGTAGGACAGTGGCTTACTTTGTTTATAAGAGCTTAAAAATAGTCTTCAAGATGAGATAGAGCACCTGCCGTGCACACGTCAACTCGAGAACTGTCCTGTGCAGGAGGCTGCCTTTAAAGGGAACTTCTGGGGCTTCTTCAGAGCAGAAGGCCGGCATCAGTCAGACCCAGGCGGGGTATGGGGCCATGCTCCAGTGGTCCAGCTGATGACCCATTGCTGTTGGCAACAGATTCACCCCATGAGCTGAAAATGTTGCCGCTGACTTGTTTTTGACTTACAGAGTTGAACTTGCTGTTTTAAGCATCTGTACATATTAGAACTCTAAGGGGTAGTGAGTAGTCGAGCAGACTTTCTCCCCTGGCCATACTGCCCGTAGCGACTGTCTCCTGTTAACACTAGCAAGGAAAGTGCTTGTCACACAGAGGAGCCCTTAGCCACCCATAGGGTTCTGTCACCGCACACTTCATTCCTGACCTCACCTTTTGTCATCCATCCCTGCCCTCCAATATTTAGTGTCTGGTGTCAGCAGGGGGAGCCTCCCTCAGTAACCCTTCACTCTGGGTTTTAGAAGACTTCTCTGGATCTCTTAGGATCCAGTTTTAATGAACCCTCTTCCAAAGAGATTCAGATGAGCTGGGTGATATTTTGCAAAAAACCGGATTTTATTCATAGTTCCCTTTACAGTTCCATCACAGTATTTTTTTTAAATAACTCAGGTGTTATGAGAGGAATTAGAAATTAAGTAACTTATATCATGTGGACTGTAAATGTTTTATTTGTAAGATTCTATAAATAAAGCTATATTCTGTAATTTGTGTTTTGGGTTTGTTTTGTTTTGGCGTGAGGCTCTGGGGTGTAATGAAGGCTCCTTGACACAAGGTGGCGATCATGTGCTGCTATTTTACGAAGGGTGGTTTTACCCGGTCTGGCTTTCATTTTGGCTATGGGAACTTAGAAGGGACTTCATATATTACATAATGCACTTACTTTAAAAATGATTCCCTTGGGGCACTTAGCTATGGATGAGGCCTAGGAAAGAGTACAGAAGGCATAGAGTTTCTTACAGAACTCCACTTCTGTTGCTTTTTTTTTTTTTTGTTATATTTATTGTGTGTCTGCGTGGGCATGTTCACACGTCAGGATGTGTGTACAGGTCAGAGGACAACTTTCAGGTGTTGGTTCTGGGGATCAAACTCAAGTCATCAGGCTTGGTGACAGCTATACCCACCTCCAGGGGACTCATTTTGCTGAGGGACGGATCTTACAGTGTGAGAGGGTCAGAGAGATGGCTCTGTGGTTAAGAGTGCTTGCTGCTCTTCCAGAGGACCCAGGTTCAGTTCCCAGCACTCACATGACAGCTCACAACTGTCTGGTAACTCCATTTCCAGGGGATCCGACACCCTGACACAAATATGCAGGCAAAACACCAAATGCACACAAAAGAAACAAACCATTAAAAAAAAATCTTACAACGTGAATTACCACGAGTCACAAGCAGTATCCTGAGTATCAGAGATTGCTCTTAGTGGGTGGAACCCTCCGAAATAGTATCCTGAGCTCCTATAGTTTCAGCCAGAGCATCTTAAGGTTTATTCTGGTCTGGCTAGGATGCAGTTGTGGACTTTCTCTAGGCTCAGCCTGAGGCAAAACAACATTTTTTTGAGCTTAGAAGAGCTCTTCAAAACCAACCCTCCTGGGATAGTATCCACAATTTTATTGGTCTTTAGATTTTTGTATGTGAGTGTGTGTGTGTGTGTGCGCGTGCGCGCGCACCCACACTTACACGTGTATACACTTTAACATAACCTACTATCTGCAGAAGCCAGGAGATAATATCAGATCCTCTAGGATCTAAGTAGCAGAGTTTTGTGAGCCACCAATAGTCGTGCTGGGGATCAAACCAGCACTAGATACTAATAGAATATCTAGTTCTATTAAGCACTGAGCCATCTGCCCAACCCCTCATGTTGGTCTTTTTTTTTTTTTTTTTTTTTAAATGTAATCCTGGCTGTTCTGGAACTTTCTCTGTAGGCCAGGCTGGCCTTGAATTCACAGAGATCCATCTGCCTGCCTCTGCCTCCCTGAGTACTGCGATTACAGGCGTTCGTGCGCCACCCGCACTCAGCGTCAGTGCTAGCATTATTAACTGAAGTTTTCACATCAGGCTCCTGGGAGGGGACTTCAGTTGCTTCCTGAAAAGTCAGCACCCGCTGTGCAGAAAGAATGAGTGGGAAGGCCAGATGATACACCTGTCAGTTCTGGATTTGTAGGCTGCCACCTTTTCCTTTAGGCAGCATCTGTTTCCGAGCGATGGCTTGCTTTGCCTTCTATTTCTCATCTGTCCCACGTTCATTTAGAAACACATTCTTGAGAGAGGTGAAATTCTGGCTCACAGAAGTAAACAGGCCCTTAAGATGATTAAAAGCGTCACTGCAGACATCCTGTGTAATACTATTAGCCAGCTAAGCCCTTTGGGGGAGGGGCGAAATGCGTCACAACTGGAAATGTCTGAAGTAATTAGTTAGGCTTCCTCCCTCACTACCTCTCCTCTTCTCTGGTCAGTGATGCGTAGATCTGCTTTGAGGAAAATCCGTTCTGAGAAAATAGCAAACATACTCTGGGTTGCCACAGGTCTTAACACTGGAAAAGCAAAACGCCCGTCTAAAGTGCGTGTGCACTTCATGGTCTGCCATGAATACACACGATCCTGCCGACTGACAGGGTTACCCGGACAACCCCCTCAGAAAGCCAATTCCTTCATTCTCCCGGAATACATGAAGTTACAACCTGTGCCTTCCGTACTGCACACACATACATATGTACCCACGCACACACATGGGCCAGTGAGATGGCTTGGCAGGTAAAGGGCATGCCTCCACACCTGATGGCCTGAGCTATGACCCTGGCACCCACATGCTGAAAGGAGAGAACCAGCCCCCCCCCCCCGCAAGTTATCCTCTGACCTCCACAAAGGTATGACCTCACTACGGTATACGTGAGGCTCCCCCACACTAAGCGAATAATTTGAGGCATCTGAAGAGATGGTTTGGTGGTTAAGAGCACTTCCTGCTCCTAGTGAGGATCTTGGTTTGTTTCCCATCATCCGTGTGGTGGTTCACAACCGTCTGTAATGCCTCTTCCGAGGGATCGGACACCTTCTTCTGGATTCTGCAGGCGCCAGGCATCACATATGCATGCGGTGCACATGCGCACGTGCAAGCAGCACCACTCACGCACATAAAAACAAGTTTAAATCACGGTGCTGGGGTGGGGGAGACTTGTGTAGGTGAGTGCAGTTGCTGCCAGAGGCCACAAGAGGGCATCAGATCCCCCTAAAACTGGAGTTGGTTGTGTGCTTACTGAAAACTGAACTCAGGCCTTTTCTAAAAGCAGTACATTCTCCTAAGTGCTGCTCTGTCTCTCCATTCCCTAAGCCCCAACCGCAAAGAAAATGAAGGTCATTACGTGTGTGTGTGTGTGTGTGTGTGTTCAGAATAACAGCAGCAGTTGGGAAAGGCGCAATGGCCCTTACCATCCTTCAGCTAAATATGTCAGAGCCACACATGTACCCCATGTGTTTTCTTTTCAACCTCCTCTCACCGATTGTTTGCTCAAGGTTCCTTTGAAAGGAAGTGAGTTAGTCAACAGACTCTTCCCGTATAATAGCAATCTTTGACCTTGGCAGCAGGTAGTTGGCCAGAATGCTGGTTGTAGCATCAATCAATCACAGTTAGGAATAACCAGAAGTTCTCTGGCCTGGCAATCATAAACCAGGAAGCACTTCTCCCTCATGGGGGAGAAGTGCTGGAATTACTGGCATAGGCCATGTTCACTGGGATTGCTGGCTGCCAGCCCAGCTCCGGGTTCAATAGTGGACCCCATCATAGAAAAACAGGGTAGATTATGGTGTCCTCTCCTGGTCTTGTACTCACGCAGGGATTCATGAACCCCCACACACATGTGAACATATACCACACAGGTGTTTTTCTACACTTTTTATTTTATGTGCATTGGTGTTTGGCTTGCATGTATGTCTGTGCAAGGGTGTCAGATCCATGGGAACGAGTTACAGACAGTTGTGAGCTGCCATGTGGATGCTGGGAATTGAACCTGAGTCCTCTGGAAGAGCACCTGGTGCCCTTAACTGCTGAGCCATTTCTCCAGCTCCAAATGTTTGAATTTAGAATGACCTGGTGGCACTGACCTGGTGGAGATTGAGGCAGTCGGAGTTGGTATTTGGGCTACTGGGTAAATTCAAAGCCAGCCTGGGAAATTTAGAAAGATCCTCTCTTGAAATAAAAAGTAAAATGGAGCCAGGCAAGGCAGCACACCAATTTAATCCCAGCGCTCAGAGGCAGAGGCAGATGGATCACACAGAGTTCAAGGTTGGCCTGGCCGACAAAGTGAATCCAGGACAATCAGGGCTCTGTTACACAGAAAAACCCTGTCTCAAAAAACATAGATAGATAGATAGATAGATAGATAGATAGATAGATAGATAGATAGATAAAAGTGAAATGAATGAGGGATGAATTAGAGCAAAGTATAAAGACAGATGCATAGGAAGATGCCTTAATGAAACATTGCTTCGTTTACTAACTTAGAAAAATATTAGAGACCTGTGGTGGTTTGAATAGGTATGATCCTCATTGACTCCTGTGTTTGAACGCTTGGTCCATAGGGAGTGGCACTACTAGGAGGTGTGGCCTTGCTGGGGAAAGTGTGTCACTGTGGGGGTGGGCTTTGGGGTCTCCTGTGCTCAAGCCTGGTGTGGCACACGGTTTCCTGCTGCCTGTGGATGGAGATGTAGAATTTGCAGCTCTTCCAGCACCATGCCTGCCTGCGTGCCACCATGCTTCCTGCCGTGACGATGACAGACTGAACCTCTGACACTGTAAGCCAGCCCCAGTGAAATGTTTTCTTTTATATGAGTTGCTGTGGTCATGGTGTCTCTTCTTCCTCTGACGAAGACAGGGGCAGAGGGATGGCTCAGTGGAGTACTTGCTGCTCCTGGCAGGAGATCAGAATTTGACTCCCAGGTAGCAACATTCTACAATTCTAGTTTCAAGGGATCTGATGCCATTATTGGGCCTTCTCGGATACCAGGTACACACATGGCACACACATAATTAGGAGAAAAGCATACATAGAATTCAAGATAAAAACACTCACACACATAAAATATATAAATTAAACTAAAATTTAAAAAGAAACTATATTGTTACCTGGGAAAATTTTGGTTGTTGTTTGGCTGGTTGGTTTTATTTTTCAAGATAGGCTTTTCCTATGTAGCCCTGGCTGTCCTGGACTCGCTTTGTAGATCAGGCTGGCCTCGAGCTCACAGAAATCCACTCACCTCTGCCTCTCAAGTTCCGAGCAGCTTGGGTGATTTTTTTTAAATTTTATATGTTTTATTATGTATATATTTACCTCATATGTAAGTTTTTAAAATTTTTTATTAATTACACTTTATTCACTTTGTATCCCCCCTGTAGCTCCCTCCCTCCTCCACTCCCAACCCCTCTCCTTCCTCCCCCTTCTCCACTTTTTACAAGAGAAGTTAACCACAGGAAGAACTAGGGAGATGGGTCAGTAAGAATGCTTCTTGTGCTAGAATTTGCAGGCTTGTATAAGCATGAAGACCTGAATTCAAATCCCAGGCTTGCTGGGGCTTGCTGGCTGTCAGCATAGCTCCAGACTCATTAGAGGCCTTGTCTCAAAGGAATAACACGGAGAGTGATAGAGAAATGACACCCAATGTCCCCTATAGCTATGTAGCACTTTTCACGTAAATCAGAAACCATGCACTAC